GGAGAGATTTCAGCGAGTGGGAACCGTGGGGAGCGATTCTCCAAGGGCAGGGAGGGGGCTGAGCATGGGGCCGGGTCCCTGGGAGCAGCCGCGGTGCCTCCCCCAGCAGCAAACCTCCTCCTGCATCAGACCAGAGAATGCTTAGTCCATGCCCCTGCAAAACCAAAAGGGGATATTTGGGGCTAACTGGTGCTTGTCCATTTGCTCGCCGCTGTAGTGGGATTTTTCACTCCACGGGGTCCCTCTCGCCCCCTCCCTGGGGCAGGGCTCAGCCCTGATGCCTGCCCATCACCATGGCATGAGGGCTCCTTGCAGATGATGCTTGCCCACAGGCCCAGCCAAGCTGCCATGATTTCGCTGCCCAGCTCAGCTTATTCCTCCCACTGCTTTAACCCCACCAGTTCCCCAGCACCTTCCCACCCCAAGGAAGGTTGGTTGGTTGAACTTCTTGGGGAAAAGACCCACTGAAATAAATCCACACCTCGGGGGGGCAGCGCTGGGAGATGCTGCCTCTGCCTCCCAGCATTATCTTTGGAGGCTGGGCAATGGCTTTGCTCCACAATTAATTATACATGCTCTGTGGTCCGTCTGGGAGGCATTAATGGCTCCAGATGCGGATCATGGGGCTCTGCGTGGCACTGTAAACATGCTGGAAGTCCAATTTGGATTTCCCCGGGTGCCTCATTTAAATGAATTATGTAAACGCTTTCCCCTCCTCTTTTGAGCAACAGCCAGTCTGGCTGCTACCCGATGTGTTAATCCCATGAATAAAATAAAAAACAAGGGAGACCATGCATTAAAGAGAATAAAAGGGTGCTGTGGAGCCCCTGGCAGCGCTGGCATGGTCTGGGGGTCGGGCTGGGCAGGGGGGCGGTTTGGGACTGTGGCCACCCCCGTTACCTTACACCTGGCTGTTGATGGGGAGGTCCCCCCCCTGCATAGTCCTAAACCCCCTGATGACCTGAGCAGCTCCAGAAGGGCACCCTCCCCATCCCCGGGTTTAAATTCAGTTTGATTGGGCAACGCAGTTCTCACAGTTATCTTTTGTACAGCAAACAGCTGAGCGACTTCGCCTGGGTTCCCCCATTACCCTTATCCCCCATATCCATCATTCCAAGGTGCCCCCCCAAAGAGAGCAAATTGGAGCCATTAAAGCCACGTCAGATAGTCCTGGTGCCAGTGTGTGGATTTCCCAGCACGTGCATGGTCTCATCCTGCTCTCCAGGCTGGGGCTGTGACTGGGGTGCACAACGGAGGAGACACATGGGCTGGGAGGGGACCCAGCCCAGGGCTGTGCTTTCTGGCAGATGCCTGCTGATGAATTACCTGCCCAGACCATGGGATGAAAAGGGAACAAGGTGGCTGCGAGTGCCGGGCTGGCCCGTGCCTGCGTACAGACCATTTGCTGAAGCCAGCAGGATCTGGGAGCCGAGGATGCGGTCAGAACTGGGCACGCTTGGGAGACAGCCTGTAGCTCACCATCCCTCGCAGAGCTGGAGCAACCAGACCCTGCCATATATTTCTTAGATACCCAACTATCTTTCCAGAAGCACAGCTGCTGCTGCAGGACGTGTGCACAACATGGGACATTTACCTTCGGAAGTGACAATCACCATAAAAGGAAGATTTGCGACCGTCACTGACTCCATTCCAGCTGTGTGTTCCCCATGTGTGCAAGCTCTCCTTGGGGCATCCCTTTTCCATCAGCAAAGCCATGACCAGGGGACCCCAGGCGTACCGTGGGGCTGTCTGGCAGTGTGTCTGGAGGGTGACAGTCTCCACAGGATGCTCCCTGAACCCTCTTGCCCGGACTCAGGTGAGCTCAGTGGTGATGCCCAGCTGCCAAGGGGTTGCTCTCCATCCTCCCTGCCTGTGGACAGCAGGATATTTGGACTCAGAAAAGGATCTTGCTAACAAGCAATTGCAGAACAGCCACAACTCTCCCTTCTCCTGAAAAGCCCTGGGTGCAGACTGTGAGGGCTCAACGTCTCTGCCCATGACCCTCACTCCCATCATGCTTAGGCCTGAAGGGTTTTTTTGCCAATAATCTATCTTTTTTCTTTTTTTTTTTTTTTTTAATTTGCAGTAAAATATACTGCCAGGGCTTGCAAGAGCAGCCAGGCTTCTTGTGGCTTGACCTCCTGCTTGGGGTGCTCTGCAGCTGGACCAACGCTGGTAAATAAATAGAGTGTGATGGGACAGTTGCATCATGTGGGCAATAAGCCACCATAGGGAGGTTCCACTGAAACTCAAAGCTGAAGGATGCCGGAGGCCGTGTGGCTTGGTAGCCATAGCAGCACAGCTAGAATCACCCACACTGGCCCTGCCTCAGTTTCCCTGATTGTTCTGGGGCTGCAATGGTCATTAGGTTGAGGTGTCTTTGCTAGAGGCTTGCAACATCTCTTAAAGAAAACAGTGAACCAAGATTATTCTTATTTAAATAAATAAAGATACGAGGCATAATGTGAAAGTAGATCTTGTAGTTGACCCTTGTGCAATCCAGCCCTTCTCTGCAGGGTGCGGAGCGCAGGATGCAGGGTGAAGGGGGCAGGATGAAGGGTGCAAGATGCAGGCGGGATGCACATTGCAGAGTACAGAATGCAGGGGGTACAGGGTACAGGATGCAGGGGTGCAGAGTGCAGGCTGAGGGATGCAGAGTGCAGGGAGCAGGGTGCTGGCTGAGGGGTGCAGGCTGAAGGGTGCAGGGTGGGTGGTGAGGCATGTGGGTGGTAGGCTGAGGGTGCAGGGAGCGGGGTGAGGGTGCAGGGAGCGGGGTGAGGGTGCAGGGAGCAGGGTGAGGGGTGCAGGATGGGTGGTGAGGCATGCAGGCGGTAAGGCTGAGGGTGTAGGGAGCAGGGTGAGGGTGCAGGGAGCAGGCTGAGGGTGCAGGGAGCGGGCTGAGGGTGCGGGGAGCAGGGTGAGGGTGCAGGGAGCAGGGTGAGGGTGCAGGGAGCAGGGTGAGGGTGCAGGGAGCGGGGTGAGGGTGCAGGGAGCGGGGTGAGGGGTGCGGGCGGGCAGGCTGGGGGTGGAGGGAGCAGGGTGAGGGTGCAGGGAGCAGGGTGAGGGTGCAGGGAGCGGGGTGAGGGTGCAGGGAGCGGGGTGAGGGTGCAGGGAGCAGGGTGAGGGGTGCAGGATGGGTGGTGAGGCATGCAGGCGGTA